AGGATTTGATTTGGGGCATGTTCTAATATTAGCAATAAACTGTGGTGGTATGGCTTGAGGTTTTCTGGGTTTGGTTGTGGCAAGCAGTTAGGGTTTGAACAACCTTTGATTGAATTTGTTGGCTGCGGTTGGGGAAAAGTGCCCTTGTGGCGAGTAGTTAGGGTTTGAGAGTTTTCTGGCTCCGGTAAGGGATGGGATTGGTCGGGAGTGCTTTTCCCAGCCCTACATGGCTGCGGTTATATGTGAGGGACGCCGGACCCGCTTTCCGGCATATAATGGAATGACCTTTCTTAAAAAAAAAAAAGGGAAAAAAATAAAAATAAAATCGAATTCGAGATAAGTTCAGATAATTTTCCACATGTGGAAATATGCATTCAAGAGAGAGCTGAGAGACGAAATAAAATAAATTAAAAGAGCAATCGTGAAAGGGGGAAAAAAAAAAAAAAACAGAAGAAAGAAAGTGAAAAAAAATGCAGAAAATGCAAAAACAATGCAGCATTAGTTCCCATTGGAATGCCAACAATTTGCTCCGAAGTGTGCAGTCTGTAGTTACCGATAACCATTCTTTAAAAAAAGGGAAAAAAAAAGAAAAAGAAAAAAAAAAACAGATTTGTGTTCTGAACAAAAAAGGCTAAAAAGCACAGATTTAAAGATTTTGGAAATTGTGAACACAGAGAGGGTATGCGGGGCCCGGGGACCATCCCTTCACTGGCCCTGGCCGCTCGGGCAACCCCAGTGACCCCGGTGACACAGGATGCAACCCAGAGGCAAACGTTGTTCAGCTCTTTTTTTTTCTTTTTTTTTTTTGGGAAAATGTTCAGTTCATCTTTCTGCACGACCTAATTTTATTTCCGGGCTTTTTTTGGGTTTCTTTTTTTTGTTGAGGGACTTTTCATATGGCCCTTGCCTGGCCAGGCCGACCGGGCCACCAAGGTGGCGCGGGCCGACCGGTTGGTTACACAGGTAAATAGTAAGACTTAGTATCAATTCACTGAAGTGTTAGTGATATTAATTTTTAATTTAATTGTTAATTAACATCAATCGGATGAGAACATGCTTCACAAGCATGATAATAGTCAGTTCGAAGTCTTCGGACTTTCTTTCCTTTTTTTTTTTTTTTTTTTTTCGCTGGGCTTTCGAATCTGTCGTTTGTATGAAAACTCCAGTCCAATGTCCATAGCTCGGCATTGTTTATTCTCTAGCACCCTAGAAACTAAGAGGACATCGAATTTCATTCAATTTGGCAAACATTGGTGCTGCAGGTTATCAAAGTTTGGGATGTTCGTACAAATCATTGTTTGCAAACTCTGATTGACAAGGGGCCCCAAGGAAGGCCATTGTGCAATCTCTTCTTCCATAAGAAAACAAGTGTAAGCATATTCTTCTTCTTCTTCTCCTTCTCCTTCTTCTTCTTCTTCTTCTTCTTCTTCTTCTTCTGAATCATCTGAGTCTTCTGAGTGTTCTGAATCATCTGAGTCTTCCGAGTCTTCTGAGTCTTCTACGTCTTCTGCATCCTCGTCCTCAGGCTCTTCTTCCTCTTCGTCCTCAGCTTCTTCTTCCTCTTCTTCCTCTTCTTCTGAGACTTCTACCTGTTCGTTGCCAGACTCTTTTTTCTTCCTTTTTTTCCTTTTTTTCCTCTTTTTCCTCTTCTTCCGTTTCTTCCTCTTTTCCTCTACAGCAACCTCCTCTTCTTCCTCTTCTTCCTTGTCTCCATCCTTGCTTCCTCACCTTCTTGCAAAAGAAAGAACTGCCTATGCACAGTTCCCTCAGACTCTCAGAGGGAAATAGCTGCAGCACCCACACAGACACCAGACTTGCCTCCCGGGTGCAGTAAGTCTTTTTTCCAAACTTAGGGAGATTATAGATATGGTCGACAGTCGTGCAACCATGGACACAAAATTCCCTCAGACCAGAAGAGGACCTCTCTCTCTCTCTCTCTCTCTCTCTCTCTCTCTCTCTCTCTCTCTCTCTGTGCTTTGGCCCGTTTGGCCAAAGCTGCGGCGGACCCAAGGGTCGGGAAAATGTGGCAGCTACTCGATACGGCGATGAGATGGGGGAAGGGAGGAACCCAGTCCAGATACCATATAGTGGCACAAGCAGAAGGACTTGGCACTTAGAATAGAAATCCAGACA